TGCCATGTACATCCAAGTTTGTTGCTGCTCTTCTCATAATAGCTAAGAAATGGAAACAACCTAAACGCATCTAAACTGACGAATGGATAATGAAATGTGGTACAGTTATGCAATGAAGTTCTATTCAGCAGTTAGAAAAGATAAAATTATGAAATTTGCAGGTAAATGGATGGAACAAGAGACTGTCATACTAAGGTGAAGTAACACAGACTCAGAAAAGCAAGTGACCAACATATGTTCTCCTTCATCAGCAGATTGTAACAACAATCCCTTATATGTAAGTATATACCCTCATGTAACAGCTGGAGCCAGGAAACTGGAAAGGAAACATGGAGGTAAGGAGAAAGAGAGAGTCCAAAAATGGGGGCTATTAGGGAACAGGTGCTACTAGGGGGAGGTGGGGAAAGTGGGAGTGTTCAGCTGGGAGGCAGGAGGGAAGGACATGCAGGGGACCATGGGGGTGGGGGAGGAGAGAACTCAGGAGAGGGTGAATGGGGGAGGTGGGTGTTATCGGGAGGAGGGTGGGAATAAAGTGGGTGCTTGAACTGGCAGGGAGGAGGAAGGTTGAATGGGGAGAGAGAGGAGAGATGAATGGATAATGGATGGCATGGGAAGACAGAGGGGATCGTGTTGGCTCAGGAATCCCCTGAGAAATATATATATGGTGTCTGACACAGGGACTGTATGGTAAGGAACACAGTGCTAGAAAGGAGAGACTTCCCTTTAAGTGGTTGATCAGAGTAGTGAAAGAGACTCCAAAAAGTAACAGACGCTATTTCCGGAGCCCTTGGTTATCTCCCAGAGCTTGGAAGGTAAGACCCCACTGCTGAAGACAGGTCATAATTCGGACACAGGACTCGGAGCAATGGAGCAGAAACTAAGCTAGAAGCCTTTTTCCATGAAGACTAGCTTGCATAGTTCTAGAGGATACTATGTAAGCTGCTAAGGAAGAAAAATCAATCAATGGTCCAACCCAGGTGTAAAGCCAAATAAACATAATGACTGACACAGCAAACTACTTCTATTGGTGCACTAGTGGTACTGTTATCTGGGGGTGCTGTTGGGGGGAAGGAGTAATCAATAGCTATATAATTGGACTTAAAGCCCTCTCAATGGGAGAAAATTCACAGGTGGCACTGTAATTATAGCCAAATACACATGGCTGGAGAGGTCATAGATCCTAGAGAAAACCCTGTCTCTGTCATATCACTAGACAAATGAAATTTTTTCCAAATACTAAATATGGATCTTTATATTCACAGGCAAATGTACCAAACACCACTCATCAAAGAAGTTTCTTTTTGAAATAGATGGGGGCTATTACAGAACTCCACAACTGGTCACACAGAGAATATATGTCTGAGAGATACCCAACCCTAGGTGACATAGCTACAGTGGAAGCACTACGCCTAAGGCTCATGGAACATAGCGGATCAGGGAGAGAATATTAGTGCATCCTTCAGCTCTCACCAGTGGCTTCCTTATACAACACAGTGAGATGCTCACAGAAGGCCATAACTGGCTAAGTTTTAGAGAATAAGAGACTGTAGAGTGTGTGTCCCTGAATAGGACTCCTATATTAAGACTTACCTACTCATGGCTTGGGACCATTGTGGAAGACTAGGGTAGAAAGATTGCAAACACCAGGGTTGGTCCATGAACATAGGGAAACAGAGGCTTTCAGGTTACTGGAACCTTGCTCATGTGAACTTGGGGCAACAGTGTCATCAAGCACAAGACCCATGCCAACTCAGTCAGATATGGACCCAATGTGATACAAGAGAAATGGGCAGCAGGCTGTCCCTAGCCTGTGAACTGTTGGAGACTAAATGCTGCTGGGTGAGGGAGAATAGACCTTTCTTAAGATCTCTAGATAGGTTGATTAGACTCCAGTGGATGAACTTGCCCTGAAGGATATTCGGGTAAAATGCTTGACCTGATGGGGCTTAACATTACAGCAGAATACATGAGGTCCAGTGAGTGGGGGGTATGGGGGTGTGGATAGGGGAGGGAGCTCTTAATTGATTAAGAATTGTTGCATGAAATGTACAAAAGCTCAATAAAAATATTTTTTTAAAAAAGAAAGATTAAATCAGGAATTAGGGATTTAGCTCCATGGTATAGTGCTTGCCTGGTAAGTGTAAGACCCTAGGTTTGGTTGTCAGAATTAAATCAGTTAAATATCTAACTGAATAAAACATATTAAAATGTCAAGATCTAGGGGCTGGAGAGATGACTCAGCGATTAAGAACAGTGGTTGTTCTTGCAGAAGACCCAGGTTCGAATCCCAGCACCCACATGACAGCTAACAACTGTCTATAACTCCAGTTCCAGGGGATCTGACAACCTCTTTTGTTCTCTGCGGGCATTGCATGACATGGGTGCACTTACCTACACGTAGGCAATACACACATATACATAAAATAAAAATAATAAACAAAATATGAAAAAAAATTAAATATCAAAATCTAGGAATTTAAAAATACCTTGTTAACCTTTAAATGTTATTTTTTAAATATTTTATTTGTTATTTTTATTTTATGTGTATGTGTGTATTGCCTGCATGTATGTGAGTGCACCTGTGTCATGCAATGCCGCAGAGGTCAGAAGAGGGCTTCAGAGTCCCCTGGAACTGGAGTTAAGGACGGTTCATAGCCGCCATGGGGGTGCTGGGAATTGAACCTGGGTCCTCTGCAAGAGAGGCAATGCTCTTAACCACTGAGCCATCTCTCTGGCCCCTAAATATGTTATTTTTATATACGTATATAAACATGCAAAATCTCTAAAGAAAATGAGATTTAACCTGGCACTCATATATGCACATCAAATATATACAGACAATGTTGGCGAGATATGTATATTATATTACATGTATGTGTGTATCTATGTACACATTTGCACATATGAACACACATCTCCCTAAATAAGAAGAGTAAGTATAATATAAGCCACCAATTTATAGGGAGCCACATGAAAATGGTAGTAAAGTCAACATGACTGTAAACTACATTTAATTATTACCACAAAGATTGCTGGCCATTCTAATATACTATCATTTCCTGTGGAAATTTACCAACCATGGGATGTTTGTTTTGTTGATGTTTAGGGTACTACATCATACAGGAAAGAACAGGAAAATCAGGAAAAACAAAACAAAACAAAACAAAAAAAACATGACATGGTGATGCATGCTAATAATCCCGGTACTCTGAGGGCAGAGGCATAAAGATGAGGAATTCAAAGTCATCCTCATCTACATAGTGAGTTTCAGGCCATCTTCGGTTAAATGAGGACCTGCCTCAAAAAACCCAGGAACAACAACAAGATCAAAAAATCCAACAAGCAAACAGAGGGCTCCCTACTCTAAATTAAGGATTGTTAAGGGCTGATAATGCCATAACCTGGTGGGACCTCAGCTTGCTTATCTGAAAGAGAGTGCTGAATCTACCTAAGCGGTTCAGTGGCTCTGAAGACTAAGGGAGGTGTTGGTGTCGAAGGTCTCAACCAGTCTGTTATCTCGGACAGAATAGTAAATTCTTCATAAGTGTTTATAACCCATCATGCATGCACACCCTATAATTACAGGCCTAACGATCTATACAATATTACTTACTAAATAATTAAAGAAGGATTAATTATGCAGAAAGATCTTTAAGGTTCATATCCTTTCAACCAATCAAATGACATCTAGAAAAGTAGCCAGAGGAAATGATTAGGAATCTCATCAAATATTTATTTAGAGAGATATTCTTTAGATCTTCATTTTTTAATAACAAAAACCTAGAAACAACCTAAGTATCCAAATATCATACTATATTCATATGATTGGCATTAAATATTAAATAAATAATTAAGATATTCATGAAGCCTTAAAGGGGACCAGAAATGCTCACAAAAATTAAATTACAGCAACAGAATATAGACATACTTCTCAGCCACATTACAATAATGTGTATGTAACATAGTATATGTACACACACACACACACACACACACACACACAAGAAGATGGTTAAAAAAAATCAAAACATTAACAATGACTATCTTTGATATTAGAAATTAGAAAGTTGGCTTTTCTTTTTCAGAGTTTTGATATACAGTCCAGGCTGGCATCAAACTCACCATGTAGCTCAGGATATCCTAAAGAACATGATCCTCCTGCCCTAGGCTTCTGAGCAATGGGATTGCAGGTATGAATCACCTTGCCTGGCTTAGGTAAACTTTATTGTCTAATATACATACATATATTACATACATACATAATATACATAATTTTTCAATTTTTCTGTTGTATATGGTATCTTGTATAATTATTTTAATGCTTAGAAAACATAAAATTAAAAACTGCACTTGCTTCTGTATATTATTTAGTATACTCTAATTTCTAAGGGGATTTTTTAATTACACATCTTACTTCCAAAACAATGCCCAGGAGCTGACAGAGATACACATAACTGACTAAAATAAACAGATGAGGAAACTGAGGAGAAAAAAATTGTAACCTCCCAGTGTATACATGTACATGTACGCATATATGAGCATATACGTACATACATATAGATATCCATATCAATCAAAGGACTTTTTTGGCTAGAGAACTGAAGTTTCTCCAGCTTTCTCAGGAAGGATATGCTCTAGGTATAATAAACGTGGTTTTAAATAATACATTAGGAGTTACTATTTAAGTGAATTGAGTGAATCCCATTATGTGATTAGAAAACAGAAGATTAAAAGTCAAGGAACCAAGATCTGTTCACAGATGAAGGAGCATAGTCATAATCAGAAACCCAGGGGACACCTGAAAATGCACAGATCCCAAGATAAAGACAGAGATTTAAGCAGCTTTCTCCTTAAAATGTCACCTTGATTAATGTGCCTTGCAAGAAAAAATTGAAATATTAAAAGTATACTTTAACTTCATTATGTGAAATACATCAAGAGAATTAATATTAGCAAAATGAGCTAGTCTATTAATAAAATGTGCACAACATGGCACTTACCTTCACTGATAGCATGGGGCTTAATAATACAGCAGGTACAATTGGTAAATTTAGCTGTGTTTGCTGGTCCACAGCCTCCACTTGAAGGGAAAAATAACTCCATTTCCTAAATACAGAGAAAGAGAAGAAAAAGAATTTTGACAAAGATGATTTCTTATCTGAAACTCAAAGGATATTTTGTAGGCCATACAATGGCTTCTGAAGTTTCATAATATAAGTTCTTTGTTTCAAATTTGCTAAACATGAATTTACAAAGACTGGGTAACTTAGCCCCATTTCAACGCTTACATTGTGTTCCAGATTACAAATGAGAAGGTCTCAAGAAATTCTGAAAACTAGAAACAACCAATATGAAATTTTTACATTCCCCAAAGCAGAGTCCTAACAGAGATATAACATTTTTTTCATTAAAATATGTAAAGTTAAAATAAGGAAATATTTACAGAAATACAGGAAATATTCAGAAATCTGAGAACTACAGCTAATTGACAGTTACTTGCCATAGTTCTTTTATAAATCAAAATGAGCAATATATTATAGCCTTTTAGACATTGGTTATTTGCTTTGCCCAGGCCTCGTTAAACTGACAAGCCAGCAACCTGAATGAATCACAGAGATAATCACATTGATCAATTCTTTTTTTTTTGGTCTTTTTGAGACAGGGTCTCCCTGTATCCCTGTAGCCCCAGCTGTCCTGGAACTCACTATGTAGACCAGGTTGGCCTTGAACTACAGATATTTGCCTGCCTCTGCCGCCTGAGTGCTGGGATTAAAGGCATGTGTCACCACGCCCGGCATCAATTCTTTTAATTACTTAGATGCTGGCCCTAAGCTTTTAGCACTTTTATTTCCACTATACTCTCCATGAATACCTGTACCCCGTGCTCAAAAACACTTTGTGCACAGAGGACAGGTGCCATACTATTTCCTCTATAAAGCTTATCCTGATGTCCCCAGTCAGCACCATGCACCCCTCAAGTGTACCTATTCAAGTACTTGCCATCTATCAAATAATAAATTCAAAGAGAACTAACTTGCATAGATTTTTAAGTTTCAAAGCATCAAAAACAATGTCTATTTCAGAGCAAATTTTTTTCATTCAATTTGTAACTGAGAAATCAATCCCAGCATTCATGAGGCAGAGGCAGAAAGATCACTGCTAGTTCAAGGCTATCCTGGTCTATACGGAAAGTGTCAAACCAACCAACTAGGGCTACATAGTAAGTAAGACCTTGACTCAAATCTAAAATAAGATAAAATTGAAAGATAATATCTGTGTTTAAAATGATATATTAATAAATTTTATTTTTACATTTTCATATTTTGTTAGTGCATATTAATTATACAGAAAAAATGTGTTTGATATTTTCATCAATGTACATAATATAATTTGGTCATATCGAGCCCAACTGCCCTCCCTCCTCTACACCCTCCCCCTCCTCTCCGCTAACAGCCTCCCTCTACTTTTATGTGTGAATATTTTCCCCCAATGTATATTTTTGTTGAATTTTTGTGCATTTCCTACAATATATCTTAACTATATTTAGATCTCTCTTCCCCACCCATACCCCCTATAGTCCCTCACACACCACATTTCATGCATTCTGTCATATATGTTAAGCCCTATCCTGTTGTGTCCCCGAAAGAGCCTGCTCACTCCGAGGGGTGGGGCCTGCTGTGGAGAATTGACTGTGGAGAGCTAGCCTAGGAGGGAGGGCTTTTCTGCACCATTTTGGGCAGGAACCGTGAACTGCTCATGGCAGTTAGGCTCGCAAGAATGGAATGGCCCAGCATTTACCAACTTGGGGTGAGACTGCAGGCCCAAGAGGCATTGGCAAAAGCTAGCGGTGACTATGGGCAGGCCATGGGAGCAATCTGGAATGGTAGGCTCTGAGCTGCAATGTAAAGCTGGGCACCAGGTGTTCGTTTCTTTGTGAGTTTCTTCTCCCCCCAACGGTATAAACTATAATAAATTCACATAAAGATATGTTATATAGTTTGTCTGACAGCACAAGAGACCCCGAGAGAACTCGGGGGACACCCGTCAATCATTTGAACCTAAATGCCCAGTGGTACAAATTCATCCACTGGGGTCTGGTCAGCCTATCTAGAGTCATTTCTTTAAAGAAGATCAGCTCTCCCTCACACAGTAGTAATTAGCCACCAATAGTTCTTCAGTTAAGATTGGGGCCTACTGCTCATTTTCCCAGCTCTATGCTGGGTTTTTGTCTAACTGAGTCTGCATGGGTCTTGTGCATACTGTCAGCATTGCTGAAAGTTCGTATGAGCAAGTTCCCAAAGGCCCAGAAGGCTCTTTCCTTATGAGGGTGCACCAACCCTGGCTCTTACCTTCGTTCTACCCCCTCTTCTACAATAGTATGTGAAATATTTTTAATAGCCAAAAGCAAGTAGGAGAACTTGCTCAAATTAATACTGCATATTCTTGAGTTATTCTGTTGACAAGGCATTTTAAGATGAAATTAAAATGTTCTATTCCTTGCACATGAAGTTCCTACATATCATACTGCTGAATATTTATTTTAAAAAATCAATTACCATCATAGTCCTGTGCCAGATGCTCTAATTACACAATTTCCTCTGTACAGCTACAAGAGGAAACTCAAATGCTAATGGGTCTGGCAGGTAATCAGTGACAGAATATGGTGGACATGGTGAGATAAAAGCAAACTAGAAAGGGGGTGCACTGTTTAAAGTTCTCATTTCTCTGCTCCTTTCAAAACAAAACTCAAAAGTGATATCTTAATTCTCCATCTCCACTTTCTCACACCAGTCTCTTCTAAACCCACAGGTAATCAGGCTTTCATTCTACCAACATCAACCCCATGTTTCCTAATCTGCCAGTCAATGCTCAGAATCTACCTTATTTGACCCCACATTCTTTGAATCAGTTGGTCACTCTGAGATACCTTGAGAAAACTGAGGTGTGGGTCTGTTGAGTAGCAAGCTCTTATTAGTTAGCACATAGCAATGTGAGGATTCAAATCAAGGTCAACATGACTCCAAAGACCTGAACATTTTCTGTGATCTCTCTATCCAGAGTGAAAAGCAATGTACTGTTTTTCCAATTTTAGTTTAATAATTTACTTAACCAATTATCTGGCCAATTTTTTGTCTAATATATTTTAATTTATCTTCTTTCTCCATTATTAAACTTGGAAATGTCAGTTTTACAAATATCCATTTACATAAGCAGAATAAGTATTTAAGGTGAAGATCATAAAAGTTTTATTAAAACAACTTAGTGACGTTGAATAACTCTATCTTCTGCCATCACATCTTTCATTTCTTTTTCCCCTCTAAGCAGTTTGTCTTGTCTGTTCCCATTATTAATCTAAACCAACATTTGCAAAACCATTTTCACTAAGTCTGTTGTAGCACCCCATTCAAAGTCTTCATATAACAAAGGTAAAGTCATCAAAAAGGATCCCTGTTCCCTTTTTGAGAAACTAAAATATTGTGTATAAAGCTTTTCACTTTACAAGTGTTTCTGCTATTACCTTTGCCCTCTAATGTTTCCCTAAATAGCCTAACAGAAAATAATAACTGTAACTTTTGAAGAAATTAAAATTTCACACAATAAGCTTTAAGTCTCATGATTTTTAATAAATTATAAGACGCACAGTTGCATTGCTTTATAAGTCTTCATCTTGTTAAGATTCCATGGTTGTTTCCCAAAAATATTTCACAAACCTATATTAACACCTTTAATTATAATAATAAAAATTAGTAGTACACAGTTGACAGCTAAAAGTTTCTTTAAACTACCTATTCGTCCCTACTAATTATTTTTTTGAGTCAAGGTCTTCCAGTAACCCCAGCTGATCTGGAAGTTCCTATGTAGACCATATTAGCCTCCATTTTAGAGATCCACCTGCCTCTACCTCCGGAGTGCTAGGATTAGAGGTGAGAGCCACTACACCTGACTTAGGCCTAGTAATTTTCAATAAATATCATTTTTGAAAATTCTCCAGATGAAAAGTACACTTGGGTTTCTCTTTCTATATTACACTAACATCAAACAAATAATCTGTTCTCAGAAAATAATCCAAAACAGGGCCAACCAGACAGCTCAGTAGGTAAAGGCACTTGACACGCAATTCTGGCACCCAGAGTTCAATCCTTAGAAACCATATAAAGGTGGCAGAAGATAACTGAGTCCAAAACTTCATCCTCTGACCTCCACATACACACTGTGGCATGAATGCCCAAACATACATACATTGTGTGCATACATACACACATAAATATAGATAGATAGATGATAGATAGATAGATAGATAGATAGATAGATAGATGATAGATAGATAGATAGATAGATGATAGAGAGATGATAGATAGATGATAGATGATTGATAGATGATATATAGATGATAGATAGATAGATGATAATAGATTAGATAGATAGATAGATAGATAGATAGATAGATAGATAGATAGATCATTTTTAAAAGAATCCAAAACATTTCAAAAGTATAAACTCAGGTAAAATCTTTTAATAAAATATTAAACGGAAAAACTGAATTAAAAACAGATGAACTTATGTTTAGTATATAAAGTACATACATTAACAAAGAAATCAGCCAGAAGAAACATGTCAACAGTAGGAAATCTCTTAAAAACTTTGCTGAAAGAGAACGGCACAGCTTTAATCCCAGCACTCAGGAGGAAGGTGAATCTTGGATCTCTGTGAGTTCAAGGCCAACCTGGTCTACACACAAGTTCCAGGTCAGCTGAGGTTACAGGGAGGCCCTGTCTCAAAAAGATCAAAAAACAAAACAACCAAAAAACTTTAATGGATTATTAATGACAAATTTTCTTTTCTATACTTTCCAAATCTCTGAAGGTATTCCCTTCACATCTGAAGGACTGGAAGATTTCTAACAAAGTAGGCTGCTGCTTTAAATTGACAAGGTGGAAAGTGGCAGTTAAGCACAGGAGCTATGGAGCCAGAATGGGAATGTATTTAAATTCCATGAGACTCAGATTCTGTACATTGGAGTGATCTAAGAGGCTGCAAGGATAGTGCAAGAATTATGAGATATCAGAGTTCTTATCATACCTGTGCCTGTGACATGGTCAACACTCAATAAACATTATATGTGCTGTCATTTTTACTTCCCAGGCTGTTTTGAACTTATGATCTATATCATGGAGATAGGAAGAGAAATTAGACATTCTCAATGACTTCACAATCTAAGAGGATAAATATAAAAACAAAAACTACATTTTAAACATGCTAAGTGATATAGGCAACAAGTATTTTTAAAAAATCAAGGAAAGGGTATCTATCTAGCACAGTTTTGACTCAAAATCAAGAAACTGGTTAAGAGCTGATAAAACATTTTCAAGGCTTTATCAAAGTATAACTGACATACATTAAACTGCATAGCTATGTTATGGTTTGATTTGGGCTTTGAGACAGGGTCTCATGCAGCCCAGTCCTTCCTTAAACTCAGTAAATTGCCAAGGCTGGTCTTTAACTCTTAATGTTCCTGCTTCCATATCCCAAGTGTTGGAATTTAGGACTCCACATCCATGGCCAGTTTGTATTTGTGTGTGTGTGTGAGTGAGTGTGTGTGTGTGTGTGTGTGTGGTATGTGTGTGTGTGAAGAGGGGTGTGCATGTGCCCATGTAGAGAACAAGGTGACCTTAGAAATTTTCGTCAATCATTCTCCACCTTATTTTTGAGACAGGATTCTCACTGAGCTTGGAGCTCATCATTTAGGTTAGAATAGCCATCCAGTGAGAACCCCAGGGATCCTCCTGTCTCTCCCCCACAAGTACTGGGGGTACACATATACATACATCTGGCTTTTACACGGGTGCTAGGGATCTGAACTCAGGTCCTCATGCTTGTGGGTAAACACTTTACTCACCAAACCATCTCCTCGGCCCCAGTTTTGTCTATTTTTAAAGTGTATAATTTGCTATTTGGGGACATACATTTCTCCTGTGTTAACATTAGAATAATGAAGCTAATGAACATAGGCCCCAGACTTCCTTCCTTTAAGTAATTCTGTCTGCCTTTTCCTGCTTTTTCCCCTCCCAGTAACTACCAAAGTGCTTTCTGTTGCTATAGATTAATTTCTACAATTTTATATAGACTCATACAACATTGCTATTTAGCCTAGCCTCTTTCACATAGAAAATATATATATATATGGTCTTTTTGAGACAGGGTCTCCCAGTAGCTCCAGCTGTTCTGGAACTCACTATGTAGACCATGCTGGCATTGAACTCACAGAGATCTGTTTGCCTCTGCCTCCAGAGTGCTGGGATTAAAGGTGTGTGGGAGCCGGGGCCCAGAGAGGAGGAGAAAAATGGGTGGTGGGCCGACACTAGGCTGAGAACAATTTGAGACTGATTGCTGCTGGGTGAGGAAGAATATGACTTATATACAATCACTAGATGGGCTGACTGGACTCCAGTGGATGCATTTATTCTGAAGAACACTTGGGTACAAATGCCTGAATGAATAGGGCTTAGCATGTACAGCAGGATGGGGGAGGCATGGATGGGGGAGGGGGTCTGAATTTGATTAAGAACTATTGTATGAAGTTTCTAAAGCTCAGTAAAAAATTTTTTAAAAACTCAAAAAAAAAAAAAAATACACCCAATTTTATGGGAGGCACTCACAGGAGATTTCTTTTTTGTTAAGACCTAGAGTTCTTTTTATTTAGTGAAAGAAACTCTTGTCTTTAAAATTTGTATTACAAGACCAGGAAAAACTCCAAATAAATAAATCATTAAAAATTTTATTACATTTGCACACGCCTGTAGTCCCAGTACTTGGGAGGCAGAGGCAGGCAGAACTCTGTGAGTTCCAGGCCAGCTGGGGCTACAGGGAAATCCTGTTTCAAAAAGACCAAAATTTTTTTATTACGTTTATTAAATTTATTTATTTAGTTATTTATTACATTTAATTAATGTATTTATTTGTGTATGTGTGAGTATGAATGGGATGAGTGCACATGTACCACACTGCATGTGGGGGTCAAAGAACAGCTTATGTGCATCAGTTCTCTTCTTCCTCCAATTGAGTCCCGAGGACTGAACTCAGTTCGTCAGGCTGAGGAATCCTGCAGGCCCAAGACCTGAACTTTTTGCTTCTTCACATATGCTACATTTTCCAGCTACAGTATTTCTCCAGATCCCTACATAGCTAATGGTGCTAGGTCTGAATAAAAAATTTTTTTTTAATTTAAAAAAAAGAGACTGCTCAAATGTCTTTCTGAGGCCTTCTTTTGTAATATCTACAATCCATCCATAAACTAGTACTCATAGTTGAATTCAATACTTCAAACATGAGTCTCAGCAACTTAAGTTTTACAAAAAGAAATGGGATAACAAGTGTCATAACTGGAGAAAACTAATCTTGACCATGACCACACTATCAGTTCAAAGGGAGGCATACCATTGAAACACTACTTGATCCCAGGAAAACATCAAAGATGTTTCCCCTAGTACGTCAGCCATTTAAACCCTCCCAGTCATTAGTGGTGGGAATGCTTCACTTTGACAAAATCTTTGCCCACACAAAAACAGAAGCAAAATATCTCTAAAGACAACTTACCCTGGCCGCAGATGCAAAAGAGTCAGGGCCATGAGCTGCATTTCTTATGCCGTCTGTTCCAAAGAGGGCTCTGATGCTTCCAGGTGCATCAGTGCGTGCCACCCCAGAGTTCGCAGGGCCGAGCAGTCTTTTCCATTCACATATAGCGTCATCTCTTAAAATCTCCATGGCAATAACAGGCCCACTTGCAATAAACTGGATCAGTTCACTAGGAGTTAGGCAAAAGACAGCTTTACTTGCTTATTCTGTCAATCTAGACTTCTGACTTAACAATAAAGATGTATTTAAATATCAGTCATTTAATAGAAGCAAGAGTATTTGATCTTGGAATTGGGCATTGAGAAGTTTATATAGACAAAATAAAATTTTCATAAACTGAGTGCCTTACAGTGGTCTAGTTTGCTGTAAAATCATTACAGAAGTGATGTCAAATTCACTACTATTTACAGGGAAAAAAAAGTTTTCTGGATTAAGATGATTTCATTGACTTAAAATGCATATTACTGATCTAAGTTTCCCATTGCTCTAAAGAGGACAAAAGGATCCTTCTTTCTATTTTCACATAGTTTACCAAGTCAGGTAGGATTTCATAATGACAAAAGGTAAGAATGGTATTTTGTAACATTTTCAATAAGAAACTTTTTTTTTTTTTTTTTTGTCTGTCTTTTTGAGACAGGGTCTCCCTGTAGCCCCAGCTGGCCTAGAAATCACTATGTAGACCAGGCTGGCCTTGTTCCCACAGGGATCTGTCTGCCTCTGCCTCCAGGGATTAAAGGTGTGTATCACCACACCACCCTAAGAATTTAATTCTTTCAGTATAGCACTATTGGAATCCAGAGAGTGACAACTAAGTCAGTAAACACAGAGTTGGGGTAGTGATAAAGGAAAAGAGTATCAACAGGCCTTCAAATATATCCCTTTATTAGTAGAAAAACTGCTCTCAGCTATTCTATAGTAAATGTCAAAGCACACACACACACACACACACACACTCACTCACTCACTCACTCTCTCTCACACACACACACCCCACTGGTTTGTTTTTTTATTAAAAGCTTGTGACTGAGTTAGAGTCTCCAGGGAAGGAAAACCGACACCTCATTTTATTTTTCCACTTCTACATGTACACAAGGCAGCAGAGACAAGGGCAGCTTGAAATAGGGACACCCAAGCCCCTCACTTTGCTAAGCAGAGGTAAAGTACTTCTTAAAGACAACCCTTATTTCTCTCTCATGTAAAACAGAAAGCAGCAGGGCCTTCCTACAGAAAGGAAGATGGTATGACAGGACTTTCTGTGCCCCTCAACCTAGGACTATTTTATACATGCTTACTTCCCTCAGGCACCTTAGTGTGGAAGCTCATCTCTTCATTGGTCACTCAACTCATTTTGAAAACTCTTTTAAGAAATAGCATATACGGAAGTATTTATACGTTTTATGCTAAGAGGACAACAAGATCTCCTCAAACATATTCTGCCTTAGCTACAAAGCAAGCAAACAAAACAAAGCAAAAAAGGAAGGAAATCTTTATTCACTTAATAAGTATTTAATGGTCATCCACTACACATCATATACATATATATCTGTGCTATAAAATAAGATCCCATCCCCCAAAGCTTTTAATCCACTGTCCTATTGATTTTACAATGCCTGATTAACATTTTACTGCTATAGTCTGTGATCTGCAAATGCCCCAAACTGATAGGTGAGTCTAGAGAAGGAAAGAGATTTATTATGGTCGGGCTACACTCTTTCCCAAAAGATCCAAGAGTAGCACCGAGCCTAAGCACTGTGGCTCTTTTTACACTGATCATGTTGCTAGGCAAGCAAGCAGGATACAGAAGCTGATCATTGAGTGTTAAGCTTGAGCAAACATTATCAAGGAAATACATAAGAAAATACAATTTTCCATCCAAACCCCCCACCTGAACCATAGTACATCTGCATGTCTTTCCTCCTCACTCATAAACAGACATTATCAATCTGATTATTTACCTTGCCTTTTCTGGTCACAAAGTTCCCTCTAGGGGAGTTTTGTTGTATAGCAATTGTATCCTAGGAATAAAGTTTCCCTAAGTATGAAAGGGGTCTGTTAGCAACAATTACTATTTTGCAGAAACAAGCCAAGCATAACCTACAGAAGCCATGAATCAGCAGTTAGCAGGAGCACTCTAGGATGCTCTGACTTGTTTCCAAGACGTCTAACCAGGGCCCAGCTGGTATTCCCATACCCTGGGCCAACTGCCTGATAATTTCAGAAACTAGAGTCAGCCTAAACTTTAACATGGTGCACTCTTACACTGAGATTCCTTGGTTATATATTTTAGATTTAATTGGTGTTCCTAATTTTTCCTTAAGCATGCTATAAGTAGCCACAGTATCCACCAGAAAAGTGGTGTTCTTCCCTTCTACTTGTAGGGTGACCATGGGCTCCATGGGGTTCAGGGAAAAGCCCAGGTCCCCCCTATTCATGGGACTTAGATGTGAGGGCCTGAGTTAGGTGTCTCTGTCCTCACTTTGGGCATTTACTTTTCCAATGCCCCTTTTCCTTACAGTAGGCACACTGATCCTTTTCTAGCTTCTTCTGGAATCTAAATTATCTTTGTTCTGCCTCTCTGTGGCCAGTTTCCTCAGTGCAGCCAGTAGGACCTTTCCCATCTTTTTCCCTTGTATTGTTGCTGGGTCTTCTCAAGCATTAAAAACCTTCTGAGCCACTTCTATCAGTTCAGAAATAACCTTCCCTTCAAATCTCTCTAATTTCTGGAGCTTTCTTCTTATATCAGGGGCTGGCTGAGAGACAAAAACTATATTGACTGTCCTATTTTCTGGAGTTTCTGGATCTATGAAACTATACATCCTATATGCCTTATAACATGGCAACTTTATTATATAAAGCATCTTTTTCAAAAAGTACTTATCTATATACAATAGCAAATAACATGCCTACTGTAGTTTACCTAAAATAACATTTGTCATTATTAGAAATGTAAACACACTTTTGTCAGTAGCAGTATGAGTATATATAATATTCACTTGAATTTAATTACGTTCCAATGATTTAGAATATATTCAGGTTCTGACCTATATTATTTGCCTTTGCTAAAGGAACATATATATCCAACTACGTAGTATGAATATAAGGGTTCTGTAAATACTGCTTTATATATTACAAGAATATCAAAATAAAGACTGAAAATACAACAAAATTCCCAGAATAGCACATAATTGTCACCACATTTTTAACTAAATCAAAATTAAAAAGAGATGTCTCTTAAAATGTAAGTAAGTCAGAGCTGGGCATGGTGGTACACACCTTTATTCCCAGCACTTAGGAGGCATAGGCAGGTGGATCTCTGTGAAATTGAGGCCAGCCTGGTGTATATAAGGTGTTTCAGGCCAGCTGTGGCTACAGGGAGACCCTGTCTCAAAATGACAAAAAAAAAAAAATTAAGCAAATCACTCATCTGCTTCTGATTAAAGATTAAAATACTTAATGGTGGGATATAGCAGTCTCATCTAATAAAAGTATAGAGAAAATAAGTCTAGCACCATGTGAAGTACTTACTTATAAAACGGTCTTGAGTGGTGGTCTACAAGAAAATCTGTTGCTTCTTTTCTATAAAATAATCAAATGACAACTGTTAAGAATTCTGAAAATAATTTTTATTTTAGCTTATATTAATAAAACAAAGATGAATCATCTAAATGTCCATATATATATGGTTTGTATATAAATTAATGATTTTTCACCAAGTAACATATCCAAGTATAGGTCATATCTATGTTGAGATGTAAAATTAAAAATGAAGTTTTTGTTCTTCTATTCCTGTCACACATCCTCTGTCTTCACCAGCATCTTTAAATATTTATTTTTAATATCTGTATGTGTATGTGTGTATGAGTATATTGCCTGCATATATGTAAGTGTCATGCAATGCCAGCGGAGATCAGAAGAGAGTGTCAGATCCCCTGGATCTGGAGTTATGGGCGGTTGTCAGCTGCCGTGTGGGTGCTTGGAATTGAACTCAGGTCCTCTGCAAGGGTAATCAGTGCTCTTAACCACTGAATCATCTCTCCAAACCCTTTACCAACATCTTTAACATTCTTGGTACAATGTTTAATATCAGATTAATAATATTTGTGACTTAAAGACCAAGCAAGTTATATCAAAAAATAGTTATCTTCTAATTCAGATTTTGTCACTTATGCAGGTTTTAAGCTTGAGAATTTAGACTACAATTTATTTTGTATTTATATTTAAAATTTTCTTTTGTTATCTACTGGGGATCAAACCTAGGGCCTTGCACATGCTTGGAGAGAGTGGGTCACAAAATGAAATGAAAAACCCAAATATACAGTATTATGGGAAGATAATTTGTGTGGTTTTCCTCAAAAGCTTTCTGAAAACACTGAAGAGAAGCTGTCACATCTCCCTGCTCTTTATTTGGCACTGTGGATATTTCCTTGCTGTTCCCATGGTAAACACAACCTTATTCTGGGATCAGAATTATTTTGTGATAGAAAAGGCTAATTAGCATATGACCTATTTTCACCAACTAAATGAGAAAACATCTAACTAGATTAAATTGGATTGCTCTCAGAGAAGTAACCAGAAACACCGATATATGTATTAAGAAGACAAACAAAACAGACATTTACAAATGAATCACTTTTGGAAACCTAAACAAATAGAAACCATTAGATGTTCACATCCTCTATCATTTTCAGATAGCATGTTATTCTCATATATTAAGAAGAAATTATGTCAAGAATTGATGTTATAAAAATAAATAAAATATAAAAAACAAAAAATCCTGTTAAGCTGGGCATGGTGGTGCACACCTTTAATCCCAGCACTCGAGAGGCAGAAGCAAGTGGATCTCTGTGAGTTCAAGGCCAGCCTGGTCTACATAGCAAGTTCTAGGTCAGCTGGGGCTACAGGGAGATCCTGTCTCAAAAAGACCAAATTAAAAAAATCCTGTTACAAAGATCATTAATTTATGATGGTAGACAACTTTAATCTCAGCAGTTGGAGACAGAGGCAGACAGATCTCTGGAGTTCCAGGCCACCCTGGTCTACTTTACTTAGCAAGTTCCAGGCCAAAGGGCTACATATTGAGACCCTGTTTCCAATAAATAAAGAAAGGAAGGGAGAGAGGGAGGGAAGAAGGGAGGGAGGGAGATGGGAAGGAAGGGTATTTATTTATTTTTTGTTTGTGCCTATGTGTATTTTTGCTCTTTCCTTCTGCCAAAAGGGGCTCAGGGAGCAAGTTCAGATCCTCAGACTTGGCAGCAGACTACAACCAACTGAGAACTCTCACTCTCTCACTACCCCATTCCTGAAAAAAAACCTTTTAGAAAAACTGGTTGCGGGGTGTGTGTGTGTGTGTGTGTGTGTGTGTGTGTGTGTGTGTGCTCTCACTTGTAAGGAGGTTAGAGGACACCCCACCAGAGCAAGCTGTGTGTGTGTGTGTGTGTGTGTGTGTGTGTGAGCTCTCACTTGTAAGGAGGTTAGAGGACACCCCACCAGAGCAAGCTGTTGCTCTCCTTCCACCATGAGAGTCCTGAGTATCACTCACAGATCTTCAGAGCTGGCTGCAGGCTCTTTTAGTCACTATCCAGCTCATCTTTCAATAAAATAAAATCTTTTGAAAAATAAAAAAAAAGTAAACAGGATATAGAAATCAACACATAGTTAAAGGAGGCCTATATAATTGGACCAATTCCTAGTTGCTCAGGCTTCAAGCATTATTTAAGTATCTGATTATCTGTTGACTTGTTTCCTCATTATGATATTCTACTCTTGGCTATTTAGTGCAAGGTTTCATGCTGGGTTTTGTTTTGTTTTTATTGCTTTGCCTTTGTTTATTTTTCTAAGAATTATGTGAAAAATAAATAATATTTTTAAAAAGGAATCAGACATTATACAACTAAAAATGTTCAACGTATTACCTTGAAAGCATCATCATTCTGAGTTTGGTTATAGTAAATCCACTTTTGTTTATTATTTCAATAATTTCTCCAGCCTTTGACACTGCATCTGGTTTGATCAGGGCTAACGTTCTGTGAAGAAATAAAGGGTGGATTTGAAAACAAAAAGTCTTTTGGTTTTATCTGTAATTCCCAAATAGTAGTAGTTTCCTTAACAATTATCCTAGACCATTAACATCCATAATTATGCATATAGAGAAATGTCAAAGGTACCTCTTCAAAACTTATGCAAAGTAAGATTATTATTTTCCCAAAGAAATCAAAATTTGCTAAACATTATTTTTAAAAAGGAGGAGGAAGTGGTGGGAAAAGGGAAGAACAAGGTGTTGGCTAGGAAAGAACACTAAAATGGCTATTTTTAAGTTTTTATTACATATATACATATATATGGGTATATTCCAAAACTAGAGAGTACAGGTGTTTAGAATATCAATACCTTATAGGACATTTTTATAGAGAGAACTAATCTGCAAGAAGTTGCATTAAATATATTAGGAACTTGGTTTTTGGACTTCTAAGACTTAAACTTAACCATTCCATGATTTCGCCATCAGTTCAGAAGTAATTATAAAATCTTCTACTGAGTCTTTATTCATGGTAGGGGTAACACACAGAGAACTGAATGTTCGCTTATCCAACACTGCATGTAAATATTAAACGCCATGGTGATATTTTAAAGTAAAACACGTGTTCCTCCAAGAGCCTTCATCAAAGCCACGCACTCTCCCTCTTGGGACAACTGACCACACACATCTCCTTGTTTGCACTAAAGCAATCACTATAGGATGCAGCAAGTGATACTTTCAAAGAAAACAAAATGATGAAAACCAGTACTTTACATTGACCTTCTTCACAATTAATAGTGAAAAAACAGTTTGGCCTTTACAAACTCAGATGGCATACATAAACTGCTGGAAAATAACAATTCTCCCAGAGTCACACAAAATTTATGTTCTTCATTTATATCAGGCTCTGAATAAAATTTGTAGCAAATATATCTGTGAGAAAGCCCACTAGTAGAGTGTTTACTATGAACACGCTGGATAACGTAGTGTTAACACTGTGCAAGGAGCATGTTAGTACAGTGCCATGGCCTCTGAATGCAGCAGTCCTAAAGGAATAAATGCAAACTTTAAACCGTACTGATTTATGAAATGATTTAAAAATATATTCAAACATGCTTAAGTATATAACAATTCATTCTAAGCAACAACCAAAGGTTAATTTTATGGTTTCTTTTATGTTCTCTTTGCAAACATCCTAAATAAAGGACAACAGTTTCAAATGAGACAACCTGTAGTTTGGAGAAAAACATACTCAGCTAAGGCTTTTAAGTGATATGGTTATTTAGAGAAATTGTTGCACTGAAAACTTTTTTTAAGTGCATAGATTATAGACAGACAGACAGGATCTTGCTATGCAGCCCAGGTTGATCTTGAATTTTCAATCTTCCTGCCTCAGCCTCCTGAGTGCTAGAATTACAGGTATGTATTACCAGGCAGAGCACCTTTAAAATAAAATCCTTAGACAGAAATGAATTGACTAGATAGTAAATAATGGTTCTAAAAGTTTAAAAAAATGTAGTCTCAGAAAGGTGAGACTCAAAGTTGCTTCTGCCTTGCCAGTAAATTTGAACTTTAATCCATGCTATAGTACTAGGAGAGAGGCACAGACTCTAATAGATGATCATTATATAATTTGGGAGCAAATTATATAACTTTAGGGTGAGCCAAAAGGTACTACTTCATACCATTAGAGAGTTTCAGAATGTGTAAAAAAATTAAGTATGTTTTATTTATTTTGTGCATGTATATGTGTGTGTATCTGTGTGGAGATGTGTAAACCACAGCACACATTTGGAGTCAAAGGACAACGTGTGGGAATCAGCTCCTTCCTTCTACCATGTGAGTCCCAGGGATTAAAGTCAGATCATCAGGTTTGGCAGCAGATGCCTTTGCCCAGTGAGTTATCTCACCAGTCTCAAACTTTAAAAATTTGGAACTTGGATAATGGTCATACAGATTGCCAATTCCTCCATGAAACAGAAAGAAGCAAAGAGCTCCCCAAGGAAAAAAGCAACTTTATTCTACCACTCAAATAATTCATCATAAACATACAACACAGATTTATCATACACATTAACTCAATACACCCATGCATATACACCCTATAACACACACATAAAGATGGGGGGGGAGGAAGGAAGAGAGGGTGAGGGAGAGAGGGAGGGAGGGAAGAGGAGAGAGAGAGGGAGAGCACCAACATAAGAAAGAACCAAAAGAAACATCATAGAACAGATAGAGGTAGATAAGTACTCAGGTACTAGTACTGTAAGTTTGAAACACTAATTTGGAGGGGAGAAAATGTAGCCTAAATAAGCTGAAAAGATGACAAAAAGCTATGCCAGTCATGGTAGCACCTGCCTTTAATCCCAGCCCTCGGGAGGCAGAGGCAGGTAGATCTACGAGATCGAGGCCCCCTGGTCCACATAGTAACTTCTGGGTGTGCTGGGACTACAGAGACCCTGTCAAAAAACAACAGATGACAAAAAGATGACTTAAGGTACAAAAGATGCAAATAATGAAGCAGAGAAATAAGATCATTGAGGAAGGTCAGCTAATAACAAGGGGTCCCACTTGGATGTAGGGTACAATGAAGACGGGATTCAAGATGCTCCTAACTGTCCAAGTCTGTGACTATGTGAAGGTCAAGAATTTAAAGAGCCGGCTATTGGGAAACAGCAGTGGGCTGGGCCACCCTACATAAATTAACATCAAGACAATCCCCAAAGACATGCCCACAAGCCAATCTGATCTAGGTAACCCTCAATCGAGCCTCTCCTCTCAGATGACTTTAGGCTATGTGAAGTTGAAGTTAAAGTGAACCAGGATAGCACTGAAACAATGTTTTCTATATTTTCTAGACTTAACATAGCTTAAAAAGGATCAGGTTATACAAAAAAAGAATTCTACTTTGAATTTGTTCATTTTAAGTGCCTGTGGGAAACCCAGGTGGAAATGTTAGAAAAGAGATGAACCTATACTGGCAAATCAGAAGCCACTCTGATTCTCAGTTTTCTGAGACTCCATACTTTAAACTTTTTAAACCTTATTTACTATCTAGTCAACTCATCTCTGCCTCAAAGTTTTATTTTTAATTTTTTGCTTTATTTTGTGTGTATGAGTGTTATGCCTGCATGCATGTAAATGCATCCATGCTGTGCAATGCCCATGAAGAACAGAAGAGGGTGTCGGATCTCCTGGAACTGGCGTTATAGATGGCTGTTAGCCGCAGTATGGTGCTGGGATTTGAATCCAGATCTTTCAAGAACAGTCAGTACTCTTAACTACTGAGCCATCTCTCCATTCCCCTAAAGTTCTATTTTAAAGGTGTTATGCATGGTAATACATGCCTGTAATTCTAGCACTTAGGAGGCTAAGGCAGGAGGATTGAAAGTTCAAGACCAACTTGGTCTATAAGGCAAGATCTTAACTGTCTGTCTGTCTGTCTGTCTATAAATAAATAAATAATCTTATTCACTTAAAAAATTTTTCAGTGCAATGATTTCTCTTAATAACTTGACCATTTAAAAGATAGTTTTGCAGTTGGGCTGAAAAACAAACCTGGAAAGCAGCATGTAGCTGAAGCCATGGGAGTGAACAGAATCCCCTGGTAGCATGTGGAAGAAGAAAGAAAGGCCCAAGGATAGAAGCAGGGGATAGCAATGTAGATACATACACATATACATATTCTGTCTCTGTTCATCTGTCTCTCACCCAAATGACTCTGAGGGGAAACACCCAGAGTGTAGAGGCTTCCCCTCCTGCCAACTCTGCTGGGGAGTGACAGTGGAGCCTTGTGCTGCCCACTCCTTCTCACTGGGTCACCCTTTTTGTTTCCCCACTTTTCAATTGTCTTATCACTTTCTTAGTTATTTTAGCTGATTATTCCAATTAGCATACAAAGTAATGAGCTTCAGAGTGATATTTTCATATCATTATACTGTGTTCTTTCTCCATCCCACGGCCCTCCCCATCATGCCTCACTTCTCATTAGTTCCCTTCCCTTCCCCTAGATAGTCTTGGTCTGATTTCAAGACATATATATTTTAGGGGCTGGAGAGATGGCTCAGCGGTTAAAAGCACTGACTGCTCTTGCAGAGGACCTGGGTTCGATTCCCAGCACTCACATGGTAGCTACGAACCATCCTTAACTCCAGTTCCAGGGGAATCTGAAGCCCTCTTCTGACCTCCACAGCACTGCACGACACAGGTGCACTCACATACATACAGGCAATACACTCGTACACATAAAAATAATTTTAAAAAAACATATATATTTTAATACTCTCTTCTATTCCCCACATCCCATTCTGTTTAGATGTCCCCCACCACAGCCCCCTTTCTACTTTCATGTCCTACATGTACACACAGTCACAGACACACACAGACACACACACACACACACACCACATCACATCAACTTAAACCTAAATTCTGCCTATGAAATAAAATGTGAGGTTTCTGAGAATCTGGCTTATTTCACTTAAACACAATGATCTCCAATTCTATCCATTTCCCTATAAAGGTCATAATTTCATTCTTCTGTGTAGCTAAAAAAAATTCCATCGTGTATATGGCTTACCACTTCCTCTCTCTTTGGAATAGTCTACCTTTTGTCATCTGGGCTCTTCGCATTTACTGCATCACCCTGAGGCAGCTTCTCACCAATCACCTCACTCTAGAAGTGTCTAAATCTTTGCATTCTTGAGTAGGACTGTCTTTGAACTTTTTATTTATTTTATCTTTTGAGACAAGGTCTCATGTAGCCTAGGCTGGCTTTGAACTCCTTATGTAGCCTAAGATGACCTTGAACTTCTTATGTTCCTGCAGCCTAAGATGACCTTGAACTTCTTCTGTTCCTGCCTCTATTTGCCAAGTGCTAGGATTACATGCATGTGCCACTCTGCCCATTTTATGCAGTGCTGGGGATCAACCCAGGGAGTCAGGGCTTCGCCATGCGAGGCCAGCACTCTACCACTGAGCTACAACCCCCACATGTTTCTACTCTGTTTCTATTAATCTCACACATTTCTTCCTTCCTCTTCATATTGCTACTACCATAATTCAGATCATTATTTTACTAATTAAACTTATAAAAGCTTTAACCACTAACTTATTCAAGCAGTATAATGGGTTCTTCCCAATTATGACAGAACTTCCTCCTTTGTATCTCAGCTGTACTCATTCCTTTGATCAACATTTCTCCTCACATCATCTAACCCGGCAACAATTCAATCCATCTTTTATCATCAAGCCCAAACAACTCCACAAAGCCTCCAATTCTGCAAGATATAACTTCATTTTCTTCTGAGTTTCCGGTGATTTCAAGGCCCTCATTACTTCTTTTTTTCCCCAAAGTCATGTTTATCCTTAGGAAGAAAAAATTTTTTATACTTACATACTCTTAGTTCTTAGTGCCACACATAAAAAATGATGAAGTATATAAAAACTTTGTACCCTCCCCACATACACACACACACACACACACACACACACACACACACACACACACACACAAAATCACCTCCCAAGACTATGGGTATCACTTTATTATTCTAAAGAACAAACCACAGTATCAGTTCCAAGATATTCTAAAAATGCTATAACCTTATACCGGATCCCTGAAAACTCTCTACATTGTGACAATGTAGAAACAGGAAATTCAAATTTAGTACCCAATATCACAGGCATGTTTCAAGACTAAAGGTTACATAACCATGTTCTTACTTCTCTTTCCTGCTGCCCAGTTGGCGAGCTGTGTACTGGTCTCCATAGTCAATCAACACCAGCTGTCGAGAGAAGACATTTACTTTGTTCCCTATAAACAAATCTTCCAAGCGCAGTTCTTCATATTTGGTCCGTTTTAAGAAGGTACGACGATTCTTTATATCATGCTAGAACCAAAAATAAGTAAAATATACTTATTAATATGGATGCTAACCTTACTGTGAGGTATAAATTTTTCAATTTTACTTTATCAAAGACACACTACATTCTTTCATCATTTTACCAGAAATAAAAATCATATTTTTACTACAAATCCTTATTTCCTAATTCAATCTTGTAATAACATCAAAGTTTCAAATTACAGGGCTGGAGAGATGGATCAGCTGTTAAGAGAACCGACTACTGTTTTAGAGTACCCAGGTTTGAATCCCAGCACCCATGTGGCAGGTAACAATCATCCATAACTCCAGGTCCAGGAGAGCCGACACCCTCTTCTGACCTCCATGGGCACTGTACAACACGGTGCACTTACATACATGCAGGCAATACATGCATATATATAAAACAAAAATGATAAATTTTTTAAGTTTCTAATTAAAATACAGACTTTAAAATATCGTGAATAGAAAGTTGTTTATGGCTAAGTCATTTCAGCCAAATTAGAGCCTATGAACCTCAGAGACAGACATATTCCCACATTCTTTCTTCTTTACATACATATGTTAATACCATATAGGCTTATTTTTAAGATTTTAATTTTTAAAAAGTACGTGTGTGTGTGTGTATGTGTGTGTAGGTGTGTGCAAATGAGTGCAGGGGCCCATGTTGGGGAGAAGAGGGCATCTGGCTTCCTGGAGTTGGAGTTACAGGCAGTTGTGAACCACCTGTTGTGGGTTCTGGAACATAATTTGGGTCCTCTGTAAGTGCAGTAAGCACTCTTAATTGCTGAGCCATCTCTCCAGCACCACCTCCTCCTCCAAATCGGCTCACTTTCCAAAGGGATATACCAATGAAGGGATACAAAGAAGGGAACCCTCTTAGATCCTCTTCAATTTCAATTTCACTTTTTATACAGATAACAGCTTTTAATAATATTGACCATAATAACGTTTTTATTATTTTAATTATTTTTATTGATTGATTTTTTGTATGTGTATTTCATACAGAACATCCCAATCTTATTCACCTTTATACCTGCATACCAAATGGCACCCTCTCATAGACTGCCCCCCCCACCACTGAAGCCCATATACTCTGTCATCCCTATTACTGTCCACTGTGTTATCAGTGACCCCAGCTGGTACCCAGTGCTAGTCCATCTGCTGAGTCTAGTCAGCCTATCTAGAGTTCCTTGTTTTAGGAAGATCAGCATTTCCTCATCCATAAGCAATCAGTTGCTAACATTCCTTTAGGTAAGATTGGGGTCTGCTGTTCATTTTCCCTTTTATATGCTGGGTTACTGTCTGGGAGTCTCCTGGGCCACCCTGGCCAACAACTCAAAGGAAGGTATCTCCTGTCTGGCATTGTTTTTTCTTATGTAGCCTTTAGATGTACACATGGACTCGTAAAGAATTATACTGATCACTTTAATCTTTAGTTATACTTTCCTTTTGGGTGTTAAGATCATACAGTTGGCCCAGATTAACAAATTTATTTTTACTCTTAAGGTTGTTTGAGGATCTGTTCCTTAGGGGTCACATGGGCTTGGGAGAAGTGCCTGGCTCCTTTCTTTTACCAGTTCCATCTATGTGAAGATAAATCAAAGATCATGCTCCACCATGGCTGGCTTCACTTGGAAGCATGGAGGAAATGTTTCTTCTGTGTTGACCCTCCTCTTTGTAGACTAGACACTGGTTCAAGTCCATCTGGTGGGGTCTCCATGACCTCCTTGATCAAGAGGTCAGGTGACCCACAACATTTACAGGACATTTTGAGAGATGCTCCATAGTCCCCTGGAACTTAGTCAACCTAGGAAGGCAAGGAGCAAAAACTGTCCTTTAAGTCCTTCTGACCAAATTAGCATAGGCCTCAAAGTATGGCTGTTAAACATCCAAGGTTAGTTCCACCAGTCTGGTACTTTTAATTACCATGTGCTATGTAGGTAACGCTTGGGCAAAAACCAAGTATTTTCCAATAAACCTTGACTACACATATATTATGTTCCTTGAGCTAGTTGTATGTATAATTTGTCAGCAGATTGTTGGCTAATGATTCCCACTGTTTTTTTTTTTAAACTAGCTAGGCATTATTTATCTCTCTCATTGTCTAACCCTTCCATCATGGTTTCCCCATTTTTCCCATTTCTCCCTTAATAATAACCTTCTCCTATCATCTCTCCTCCCTTGAGCTCCTTCTTTCCTTTTATCCACAAGGTTCTTTGTATAACCCCATTTTTACCCATATCTCCCTTATTAACACCTGTTTACTACTGTTCTTCTCTTTCAGACTCTTTTCCTTTACCTCCCTGATTCCTTTTCATTATCCTGGTTCATGTAGTTATGTCTGGATACATATTCACTTACAAGGATTTGGTGCTAGGATCCACATACAAGGAAGAATATACATCGTTTGTTTTTCTGAGTCTGTATTACTTCACTTAGTATAACAGTTTCAAGTTCCATCCATTTACATGCAAATTTCATGATTTCGTCTTTCTTTACTGCTGAGTAGAACTCCATCATATAAATGAAGCACATTTTCATTATCCACTCATCAGTTGAAGAACATTTAAGTTGTTACCATCTCTTAGCTATTGCGAAAAGAGCAGCAACAAACATGGATGTACAAGTGTCTCTGCAATAGGATGAGTTCCTTGGGTATATGCCAAGGAGTGGAATAATTGGGTCAAATGGTAGGTTCATTTGTAGTTTTTTAAGAGTTCTCCACACTGCTTTCCATAGGTCTTGAACAAGTTTCCAATCCCACCAGCAGTGGATGAGCGTTTCCCTTTCCATACATCCTCTCCAATACTTGGTATCATTTGTTCTCTTGATCATAGCCAGTCTAACTGGGGTAAGATAAAATCTTAAAGTAGTTTTAATTTGCATTTCCCTAATTACTAATGATGTTGAATACCTTTTAAGATGTTTCTTAGCCATCTTTATTTCTTCTTTTGAGAACTCTCTATTCAGCTCCTTAGCCCATCTTTTAATTGGGTTACTTTCTTTCTTCTTTGTTTTTTGAGTTCGTTGTATATTCTGGATATTAAACCTCTGTCAGATGTGTTGCTGGTGAAGATTTTCTCCCACTTTGCATTTTCTCTTCACTTCCTTGGTTGTTTCTTGACCTTCTTTCCTGAGCAACAGATGTCTGGTTTAGAAAATCCTTTCTTACACCTATGATGCCCAAGTTCTCTCAGTGTCTCTTGCATGATCAGACAAATCATATAATATATTTTTATGTGAATTTATTATGGTTTATGCCCTTGGGTAGGGAGGGGGTAAATGGGGGAACTTATAAAGAGACAAGTACTCTTTCACCACAGCTCAGAGCCCACCAATCCAGACCGCTCCCGGGCCTGCACACAGTCTCCATTAACTTTCACCAATGCATCTTGGGCCAGCAGTCTTGCCCTAGGTCGGTATATACCCACTCTCCTTTCCAAAAGGGTTAGATGCCAGGGGGCCATCTTTCTCTCCACACCCACCACAGGGATGGCGACACAAGCCCCTCCTTCTGCGACTAACTCTCCACACTCAATTGTCCTCAGCAGGCCCCGCCCCTTGGAGGAACGAGGACCCCTGAGGAACACACTAACTGTTTTCTTCTAACAGTTTCAGATTTCCAGGCTTTGCACTGAGGTATTTGATCCATTTGGCATTGACTTTTGTGCAAGATGAAGGATGGGGTTTTAGTTTCATTCTTCCACAGGTGGAGATCCAGTTTGCAAGCACCATTTGTTGAACATGCTGTCTTTCCTTCAGTGAATGTTCTTAGCCCCTTTGTCAAATATCAGGTGGCTGAAATTGCATGTACTCATATTTGGGTCTTCAATTTTGTTCCATTTATCTACTGGTGTATTTTTTTTTGTCAGTACCTTGTTTTTTTTTATGACTGTAGATCTGTGATACAGTTTAAAATCTGGTATAGAGGGGCTGGGAGATGGCTCAGCAATTAAGAACAATGGCTGTTCTTGCAGAAGACCCGGATTCGAATCCTAGCACCCACATGACAGCTTACAACTGTCCATAACTCCAGTTTCAGGGGATCCAACAGCCTCTCTGTCCTCTGTGGGCATTGCACAAAATGGGTGCAGTTACCTGCATGCACGCAATATACCCATACACATAAAATTAAAAAAACATTTTTTTAATATTTAAAATCTGGTATAGTAATTCCCCTAGCACTGCTCTTAGTGCTCGGGGTTGCTTTGGCTATCCAAGGTCTTTTGTGCTTCCATGTGAATCTTAGGAATTTTTTTTTTTTT